ACATTTCAAGGCAGTGGAAAAATAGCATTATTCAGTGCCCCGTTTCTGTAATTCTCGCATCAAGAAAATCTGTCGAAAAATTCGTGATCACCTTCTGTAAAACAGGGTGAATACAAGAAATTGAAAAATTTCTTATTAAATTTTAATGAGTACAGCTTAAAAATAATCAAAGTCACACTGTTAAAAACTGGAAGACTATTATATTTTAAGTTTTTTCTCGATTCGAGAAAATTTCAGAAACGAGGTACAGATCTAAATAAAATTTCGAACACATCTATAGACAAGTAAGTAGTTTAAATCCCTATTTTGTATTGAAAAAATTACTGCAGTTTTCCTCTTAAATAATTATATAAGTTGACAATGAACAAGTTTGCATTAAGTAAGTAAACTTTCCTCAACTGTAAGCAAATCCCATAAGACAGTTCCACACAATTTACATAATCCCCACTGCTGCTACCTTATTTACAGTTTTTTTCTATTAGTATTATTTTAACTTTTAACAGGATTTAACAACAAAAACTGGCTCCTAATAGTTCAATTTCCTTTACTATCTTTTCTAAGCTTGTTTACTTAATGGTTTTTGTAAGTCATTGGGTAAATATTACAAATTTAATGGGTTTCATTTCTTATCTATCTCATATATTTATTTATTTTATTATATACAATATAAAAAGCACAATTAAATATAACATCCTGTCAACTATTTTTTACGTAATTTACATGCCGCAAAATATTTGTATATAATTGATTGGAATTTATTTTATTTTTATGCCATAAAAATTGGTTGTGACTAGAAATTTTTATGAAGAACGTATGTATGAACGTCTTTTATAATTCTTTTTCAATATTATGCATTAAAGTGTAATTTTTTAGGCTACAATATGGAAAAACTTTCAGCTTTTTAACCGCCATAATTAAAGTGTAATAATTGAATTTAATCTCTCTTAGTATTAGTATACGCACAATTGGGACGAACGACGAATTTTTCGGAACGAATATTCGTCGTCAGAAATAGAACACACTTGGGTATATGAAAATGTACACAATCATTGCGTATGACGAAATTCGTCGTACGTAACGAACTGTGCGATAGGTTTATTTCTATTTCTTACGCAGACGAACGACGAATTAATTGGGGAAAATTGTTTTAAAACCAATTCCGGTAGCCCGAATTTGCTGAAATTTTGCGGTTGTGGGTACAGCTAATGACAATACAATATTATGTTCGAATATTCGAAATTATATTCGAAAATTCGAAGTTAAGTTCGAAAAATGTTTATGCTTTTAAAATAATCTCTGGGTCATAACAACTAAAAATAAAATTTTTAAAAAATTCGAACTTAAGTTCGAAAAATTTTTAAAGCCATTAAAACTAGTTCTCGTGGCCCGAATTGTCTGCAATTTGGCAATCTGGCAATGTTGGAATATTTAAAATTAAGTTCGAAATTTCGAAGTAATGTTCGAAAAAATTTTGAAGCTGTTAAAATAATGTCAAAATCGGGGATATTCACAAAAATATAATTTTAGTTCTTTTCGAGGCCAATTTCTTACATTTTCTAATTTCGATATACATATACAAGCACTTTGCTGAAGTACTCGAGCTATATAATCTCTTGCCATAGTAGTCCCATTGAGGATGAACAGGTGTCAAGCTCAATCTAACCCCGACAAAGGAAAAACCTTATAAGTCGCTAGACCACACTACTGAGATGGCTCCGTTGATTCGGCAACAGCACCTAGGGGACGTTATTGGTAGTCCGAGTGGCCACAAAGACCCACTGTGATAAGTTGATCATGTTTTAGAGTAAACTCTAACACACTAAACCATGAAGGAAAATAGCCGTTAATATAAAGAAAAGGGCAGTGACACCTCGCACCATACACCGTTTTGCCAATCCTCAGTCCAGCACATCTCTCCGTCAAATCCATCAATTACTCCATCCAACTAAATCGAATCAGAATACATCAGCAATTCCGTTTGGAATGTATGTATATCCTGGAGCCTTATAAAAATCGCAGTCGATTAAGCTACGTCCGTACGTCTGTCTGTTTGTTCATATGTTTATTGAAATCAATTCGCTGAAGACCCTAGATATCTTCGTAATCCTAATCTTCAATATATATTTTTTCAATTTAATAATTTTTATGGAACTTTTTGGTATTTTAAGTGCTACTTTTTGAGTTTTCTATAATATTGAAGCTAGAGACTTGAAATTAATCGTGTAGAGCACGTAGTAAATGTGAATATATAAGAGGGAACTACTTCTTGGTACTTTTTCGTTCAAAAAGTACTTTTTGAATTTTCTATAATATTGAAAATTAAACATTCAGTGTCCTGAGTGCAATATTAAATCTAGAAACATATATTTAATCAGACATTGATGTAGATGTTATAACAATAAACTTTTTTGTACTTTTTTGTTACTCAACTGGTACTTTTTGAATCTTTTTTAATAATTAACCTCCCTAGAATAACGGTAAACAAAACAAAAAAAAAAAACAAAAAGTTTGGAAATGAAAAAGTATCATCTTCTTACTCATAGAGAACACACAGTGGTAAAACTAATAAGAACAGAGTAAAACCCTGAACATACCCTGACAAGAACGTATCATATACACTAGACACAAACTCATTCTCAACTCTTAGCCCGCGTGTATGTTGATGACCCCAGATATCAGAATCGAAATATCATAAAATTCTGCTTTCCAATTGGAGTGTAAATTAATTTCCTGTAAATGTGGTGAATTATGTACCGGTTCTAATATAATTTTTTGTTTTATCAAAACTCAACTACAATAGTTCATTGCCATCTATGCTCTTTTAAGCGTTAGCTATTTTCTGAATTGGACCTTGGATTTAATATGGTCAGATCCTGATAAAATTTGACAGAGATGTTTTAGTTTCCATAAAGTTTGTTCATGCCGAATTTAACTGTATGATCAATTATACCCCGACCCTCACAAAATTTGATAAAAAGATTTCAGTTCCGGTCAAACTAGTTTATATTGAATTTTGCTTTACGAACCAATATATGTGCGTTAATGTTATATTCTGAAGTCGCCCTCATGTAGGGGATAGGATCAATTATGGACCGATCCTCATAAATTTTGACAGAGATTTAGATTCCAATAACATTGTTTATGATGAATTTTTCTATACTGGTTTTTTAAGACAATTATAGGTGTTTAAAGGGAGCTATATGTACTATATGGAGCGATATTGCCCATTTTCAATACCCAACAAACTGCTTCAATTAAAAATGTTTAGAATCTAATAAGGATCAAGAATATATACTTAAACTTTTATGGATCTCAGGTCAATATTTCGTGTTATTACAAACGAAATAACAAAATCAATATGGGGCTTCATATTGCAGCTTAAAAGCTGTCACATCAGTTTTAAACAGATTGAATTTTAATTGTTAAAAAGCTTATAGGTTAAAAATTCACAAACGTTTTTAAGTTATAACTTTAAATAGTTTATAACTTTGAAGCTTTTCAACTATTGTTTAAACTTGGTGTGTCAGCTTTTATAGCTGCAATAAATGAACTTTCTGGTTATAATTGCTATAAAGAGATTATAAAGCTTTAAAACTAATTGCATTGAAATTAACTCAAAAATGAAATAAAAAGATTTTATTAAAAAAATTTGGTAAAATATTTATTTAAGAACATGATGGAATTTATGTAGAATTTTGTTAAATAAAAATATAATTAATAAAAATGAATGAAATATAATCACACAATTAAATATCAAATATAAAATAAAAAATTAATTTATAATAAAAAAAATTAAAATATATGTATAAAAAAATCTTTGTTCTTGTTTTGGAAGAAAATAATTAAGACACTTTTTGCTTTGTTTGTAAAATCTAATACCGAGTAGTTTTTTTTTGTTGTTTACTTTAAATAAAATATATATATTATAAATTGTTATAACAACCTTCAAAGAGGATTAATAAAACATTTCTTAAATATTTATTAAAAATAAACTTAAAAAAATTGTTTAAGATAAAATAAAAAAAAAATATTAGTTTTAAATTATAAACAATTTAAAAAAATAATAATAATAATATACACATAATAAAAAACTATATTAATAAATTAAATATTAAACAAAATCCTTTTTTGAATTACATAAAGTAAAATGAAAGTAAAAGAATTCTTAAGGGAGTTTGTTTTTAAAATACTTTTTAGCAAAAGTACAAATATTTAAATAATTCCTTTGTTTTTAAATCAATACTTATTTTAAAGAATACACATTTCTTTAAATTAATTTGAGATAATAATTAAGCAAATTATAAAATTGCAAAAAAATTAAATTTATGTTTTTGATTTAAAGAAAAAAATTTAATCACATGGTTTTTACAAAAATTTACTTTCGTATCAGGCATGGAAACTTTAGTATTTTAGTACTTTTTTTGTCGGTACTTAATTTAGTACATTAACGTTTGAGTCAATTGACCAGTCTGTAGTCTAGTCTGTAATCTAGTCTACAGTGTAGTCTCTAGGTTATTTTATAATCCATTCTCTAGCGTAGTCTATAGTCTAGTTTATAGTCTAGTCTATAGTCTAGTCTATAGTCTAGTCTATAGTCTAGTCTATAGTCTAGTCTATAGTCTAGTCTATAGTCTAGTCTATAGTCTAGTCTATAGTCTAGTCTATAGTCTAGTCTATAGTCTAGTCTATA